TTAGAGTGGAGGGGTTGGTGAGGATTAGAGTGGAGGTGTTGGTGAGGGTTAGAGTAGAGGAGTTGGTGAGGGTCAGAGTAGAGGTGTTGGTGAGGGCTAGAGTGGAGGGGTTGGTGAGGATTAGAGTGGAAGGGTTGTTGAGGGTTAGAGTGGAAGGGTTGTTGAGGGTTACAGTGGAGGGGTTGGTGAGGGTTAGCATGAAGAGGTTGGCAAGGGTATAAGGGTGTGCATAGTCTTTATGTTGTACCTCGAGATGCCTTGGCACTCTCAGACAAGTTGACCCATGCCAGCCTGAGGCTGTGTCAGGATCCTTGAGCAGCGAAGTGAGTTGCTGCAGACTATATGGCCATGTTTCCCTCCCCCTCTTCTTCTTTCACCGCATTGAGGATACCAAGCAATCAATGCCTACCTTAATGCTTAAGTGGATGGACAAGTTAGATGCAAGTAAGATGTTTACCTTGGTCGGGAAATCTGCAACCAGGAGGCTCAACTTAAAAATATGGGGAAAAAGATGGGATTTTTTTCTACTCAGAGGGTTTGAACCTTTGGAATTCTCTACCAGAGAGGGCAATGGAGACTCAGTCTTTGAGTATGTTTAAATTACAGATTGATAGATTTCTGATTACTTGTGTTGGATGGGATTATAGACATAATCAGGGTAAAACACTTTCAAGTTTCTGATCAGCCATGATCGCATTAAATGATGGAAAGCCTCCTGGTCTTCCCATGTTCCCAGTGGCAACTATCTTTATGTGGTGCTCTCCTCAGAAAAAAACTTGGGCCCCCGCTGAAGTGTGCAGTTACTTAAAAAGCATGCGCATTGGAGCACACATTTGGATGAACAGGCAGCATGATGTCTGTGTGGTATTTAATCAAAAGGAACATGCTTGGGTGAATCACGTTCGCTCAGCTCATTTTCTACTCGTCCAATTTTGCTGTCTAGGTTTTCTCATTGAAATAACAGCATGAATAAATACAGATTAAATTCACACCTGCATAAAAAAATTTGGAGAATGTCTGGAAAAAGATCAATAGAAAGCCGAAAATAATTGCCATTCGCCTTCTCCATGCTTCAACTGGAGATACAACATATATTGGAGACTTATTCTTTCCTCTTTGAAATTTATCACGGTGTTTCCTTACCTGGTACAAGCTGGAGCCATTAGCTTTAATAATTCTCACTACAGCCATAATGGGGACCCATATAACAGAGAAAATGATCAGACACCAGCCAAGTGCTATTGCCCAGACAGGATATTGAACAGATCCGTATTTTGGTGGGATAAACGTCATTAAGGACCAGAAGAAGGTTATCTGTTTCAAAAGATTACATAAGTCAAGATCAGGAAAACAGAACGAAACCTAGTATCTCAAACATGATTATCTTCAGTTTTGTTCACGGAACCATCACATGAAATTACATATCAGAAATTCAAGTGAAGCCTCTTCAGCAAACAAGCATTGTGTAAGGTGGTTTGTGGTGTATCACTAGAAATAAGTCAACGTCTTATGCTTTTCATGTTCTTTTTATCCATGTCATTTGCTCTCTCACACCCAACAGCATTTTTACTTCTCTGTTATTTCTCCCATGACACCATTTTTCCGAAACATAATTATCTTTTTTGTTTGGAATGACACTCTTCATGAGTTCAGGCGAGGGGAATGGGGTAGGTGATGTAACTATTTTTGTAAAGAAGGCCTCTTTATTCAGAATCTTCATAAATTTTAAGAAATGTGTTCGATTTATGTGTTTTTTTTATGATTTTACTGCCCCATTTACTATTTTAAATGCATTAAGTTTCCAACCATATTTAATCAGTTATTAGGAGATAACAAGAACTGCAGATGCTGGAAGTCAGAGTCGATACAGTGTGGAGCTGGAGGAACACAGCAGGTCAGGGAGCATCAGAGGAGCAGGAAAGTCGATGTTTTAGATTAGGACCTTTCATCAGGTCCTGGTGTGTTTCTCCAACTCCACACTGTATCAACTTTAATCAGTCACTATCTTGTAATGTTATAAATTTTATTCTATGATGTTAATTTTTCATGCGCATCAGATTTTTAATGAACAAGCAATATACCAACAATGAAGTAATGAATTGACAACAAAATTTGAATTAACATATATTGTACAGTACAAAAGAAGGCTGTTTAACCCAACAGACCTTTTCTAGTGTTTACACTCCATACAAGCCTCTTCTTACCAGCTGTTCTTGCATGTACGTTTCTGTCTCTCTCATGTGCTAACCTGATTCCTTGTGGCTATATCTTTGCCATTTGCCTCAGCTGCTCCTGTTGATAGAAAGTTCCACATTCCATTTGCTTCCCAAGCAAATTCCTTATCGGACGTACTTGGGACCATCTTAGATTTATGCCTCCTCATTTTTGTCTCTCCCATAGAATGAAAAATCTTTTCTCAGTGCAAGCCTTTGCTTATTTCTAAACTACAACGTCATTTTAATCAGTTAGCAATAGTTTATTTAATAATTTTGTAACATCTCCTTACTGTTAGTACGAATGGAGAGATAAAAAACCAACAGAGTTTCCACCACAGCCAGAAGGACCAAGACCTTGCCCCAATCATCATCTCAATGTCCTTGATGAATCTATTTATTCCTGTGAACAACAAGGAAATAGAGAGACACCATCACTCGCTCTATCCTGCCTTCAGGGCGGCTTGTTTACTGTTGAAGTTTATCTTATACTGGGTGGCACTAATGAACAGGTTAAACCAGCGAAGAGTTCACTCAGGATTCAAACTGGGGGAATAAACTGTTCCCTGTCACCAACCCAATTACTGTGAAAGTAAAATGTTTGTATACATCTTGAAGAAGTCTCTCTAAGAAAGGCCCATGTTTCTGATCTGTGCTGAGATGGACGGACCCGTTATCAGAGTGGGGGACAATGGAACATCAAAGGTTGTCCTGTGCTGAGATGAAGAATGGAAAGTGGATCCTGGGAGGTCACAGGAAGCATCATGGATACACAAGTTGTTCTGTTTTCCCACCTGCCTTGATTATTGGGAGGAACTGAATGCATTCAGCAGTTACCTGCAGTTGAATTTGGGATGAAGATGTTTGAACAGCTTCCCCATGAACAATTAACAGGAACATGCTAGCAGCAAAACTGACCCCAACCACAACCAGCTGTAACCCAGCAATACAAGGTGTTCACATGTGGTTGGTGCAGGGAGCACTGGAACTACTCAAGGATAGATCTTTGACAATTAAAGAGGGTACACTTGCAAATGAAGACCTCAATCACAGGATTCTGGGTAACCCAAGATGGAGGATGGAAAAACATTGTAGCTCGAGGAGCTGCTGCCTTTTTGAGGTATTTTCAATGTTGAAACTGATTTCCTTCAATTTTCGGAGCAGTAATTACTGTTTTATAAGCTGTTGTATTGTTTTGGTGCTTTGAAACAAAGATCAAAACAACAGCATTTTAAAAAAGGAGGAGGGGAGAGCAGATACTACTCAGAAGTGAAACGCATGAGTAGTAAACCTGCACAACTGTCTGACCAGGCAGTGGTCCTGCCCAGCTGACTGCCTCTGCTGTTTAGAAACAAGTATCTCTGGTCATTGTAGCCCATTCTAAGAAAAATAAACAACAGTGAAATTCACAGCTGACCTTGGAGAAACCTGTGTGGGGGAGCTCATAGCAGGGGAGCAGCTAAGTTGTTTTCTTTAAGGTTTAACTTTATTTGTTTTTTGTCAATCTAAAATAGTAAGTAGAGTGGGTGGTTTTTGATTATATGTTTAATTGAGATCTGCCTCTTGATTGAACTTTAAAAATATAAAACAAAAGTATTAAGCTATCCTGGAACAGTGTTTTTAGAGCAGTAAGACTGTGCTATTTTCTAGATCTTTATTAAGGTGCAGATATGACATTTAGTGGAATGATGTGCTCTTCCTGTTGGATGTGGGATTTTAGGGAGAATTTCAATGTTACTGATGATTATATCTGCAGGAAGTGCATTTAGTTGCAAATCCTATTGGATCAGATGGATCATTTGGAGCAGCAGTTAGAGGCAATGAGGAATTAACAGGGGTGTGATGGATGGTATTTGCAGGAAGGTAGAGAAACAGCAAATACAGTCAGGTAGATGGGTTACCTCTAGGAAAGGTAGGAGAGGTAGGCATATATTGCAGGAGTCTTTTGAGGCTATCCCCATCTCAAACAAGTATGCTGTTTTGGAAAATGGAGGGAGTGATGGACTCTTAGAGTGAGGTAGGACTGACAGCCAGGTTTCTGGTACCGAGAATGGCTCGAATGTAGTGAGGGGTACATCAAGTTCCAAATGATCGATTGTGAGAGGGAACCCTCTAGTCAGAGGCACGGACAAATGTTTCTGTGGCTGGCACCGAGACATCAGAATGGTATGTTGCCTCCTGGGTGCCAGGATCAAGGATGTCTCGGAGGGGGTGCAAAATATTCTCAAAGCGGAGAGGGAACAGCAGGAGATTGTTGTACATTTTGGAACTAATGACATAGGAAGAGAAAAGGACTTGATTTGGAGGAGAGAATATAGGAAATTAGGCTGGAATTCAAAAAGTAGACCCTTGAGGATAGTAATATCTGGATTACTCCCGGTGTCACGAGCTAGTGAGTGTAGGAACAGGAGGATAGAGCAGAAGCGTGTGTAGCTGAAGAGGTGGTGCAGGGGAGAAGGATCCATATTTTTGGATCATTGGAATCTCTTCTGGGGTGGAAGTAACATGTAAAAGAAGGATGGATTGCACTTGAATTGGAAGGGAACTAATATATTGACGAAGATTTGCTAGAGCTGCTCAGGAGGATCTAAACTACTGGAGGGGGGCAGGGGAGAGGACCCAAGGAGACAGTGAGAAAAGGGATCAGTCTCAGACTGGTGCAGTTGGGAAAAGGTGCAAGTCAATGAGTCAAGGCAGGCAGGAACAAAGCAGAGAACGAGGTAGGATTGATAAATTAAACTGCATTTATTTCAATGCAAGATGCCTGACAGGTAAGACAAATGAACTCAGTTCATGGTTGGGAACTTAGGAATGGGATATCATAGCGATTACAGAGACATGGCTCAGGGATGGATAGGATTGGCAGCTTAATGTTCCAGGGTATAAGTGCTATTGGTAGGATAGAAAGGGGGAACAAAGAGGAGGGGGAGTGTCATTTTTGATTAGGAATAACATTATGGCTGTACTTAGGGAGGATATTCCTAGGAGTATGCCCAGGGAAGTTATTTGGGTGAAACTGACAAATAAGAAATGAATGATCATCTTGTTGGGATGGTTGTATAGACTCCCCGATAGTCAGTGGTGAATTGAATAACAAATTTGTAAGGAGATCTCTGTCATCTGTAAGAATAATAGGGTGGTTATGGTAGGGGATTTTAACTTTCCAAACAGAGACTGGGACTGCCATAATGTTAAGGGCTTGGATGGAGAGGAATTTGTTAAGTGCGTACAAGAAAACTTTCTGATTCGGTATGTGGACACTGAATCAGAATGAGCAAAACATGACCTCCTTTTGGGCAATAAGGCAAGGCAAGTGACTGAGGTGTTGGTAAGGGAGCACTTTGGAGCCAGCGATCATATTTATATTAGATTCAAAATAGTGATGGAAAAGATAAACTGGATCTAAAAGTTAAAGTTCTAAATTGGAGGAAGACCAATTTTGACAGTATTAGACAGGAACTTTCAAAATTTGATTGGGGGCAGATATTCGCAGGTAAAAGGATGGCTGGAAATGGGAAGCCTTCAAAAATGAGACAACGAGAGTCCATAGACAGTATGTTCCTGTTAGGGTGAAGGGCAAGGCTGGTAGGTGTAGGGAATGCTGGATGACTAGAGAAATTGAGGTTTTGCTTAAGAGAAAGAAGGAAGCATATGTCAGGTATAGACAGCAGAGATTGAGTGAATCCTTAGAAAAATATAAAAGCAGTAGAAATGTACTTAAGAGGGGAATCAGGAGGGCAAAGAGGGGACTTGAAATAGTTTTGGCAAATAGGATTAAGGAGAATCCAAAGGGATTCTACAAATACATTAAGAACAAAAGGGTAATTAGGGATCCTTAAAGATCAGCAAGGCTGCACATGTTGGAACCGCAGGAGATGGGGGAGATTCTAAACAAGTATTTTGCATCAATGTTTACTGTAGGATAGGATACGGAAGCTAGAGAACTTGGGAAATAAATAGCGATATCTTGAAAAATGTCCAAATACAGAGGAGGAGGTGTTGGACATCTTAAAATGCATAAAGGTGGATAAATCCCCAGGACCTGATCGGGTGTACCCTAGAACTCTTTGGGAAGCTAGGGAAGGGATTGTTCAGCCTCTTGCTGAGATATTTGTATTATCAATAGCCACAGGTAAGGTGTCAGAAGACTGGAGGTTGGTTAATGTTGTGCCACTATTTAAGAAAGGTGGTAAGGAAAAGCCAGGGAACTATAGACCGGTGAGCCTGACATTAGTGGTGGGCAAGTTGTTGGAGGAGATCCTGAGGGACAGGATTTACATGTATTTGGAAAGGCAATGACAAGATTAGCGATAGTCAACATAGGTTTGTGCATGGGAAATCATGTGTCATTAACTTAATTGAGTTTTTTGAAGAAGTAACAAAGACGATTGATGAAGGCAGGACAGTGGACGTGATCTGTATGGATTTCAGTAAGGTGTTCGACAAGGTTCCTCATGGTAGACTGGTGAGCAAGGTTAGAGCCATGGAATACGGGGAGAGTTAGCCATTTGGATAAAGGACTGGCTCGAAAGCAAAAGACAGAAGGTGGTGGTGGAGGGTTGCTCTTCAGACTGTGGTCAGCAGTGTGTCACAAGGATCGGAGTTGGGTCCACCGCTTTTCGTCATTTATATAAATGGTTTCGATGTGAATGTAGAAGGTACGTTTAGTAAGTTTATGAATGACACCAAAATGCGTAGTGTAAGTGGACAGCAAAGAAGGCTACCTCAGAGTACAATGGGATCTTGATCAGATGGGCCGATGGGCTGAGGAGTGGCAGATGGAGTTTAATTCAGATAAATGTGAGGTTGCTGCATTTTGGAAAGGCAAATCAGAGCAGGACTTATACACTTAATGGTAAGGTGCTGGGGAGTGTTGCTGAACAAAGAAACCTTGGAGTGCAGGTCCATAGTTCCTTGAAAATGGAGTCGCAGGTAGACAGGATAGTGAAGATGGTGTTTGGTATGTTTGCCTTTATTAGTCAGTACATTGAGTCTAGGATTGGGAGGTGATGTTGAGGCTGTATAAGACATTGGTTAGGCCACTTTTGGAATACTGTGTGCAGTTCTGGTCTCCCTGCTATAGGAAGGATGTTGGGAAACTTGAAAGGGTTCAGAAAAGATTTACAAGGATGTGGCCAGGGTTGGAGGGTTTGAGCTATAGGGAGAGGCTGAACAGGCTGGGGCTATTTTCCTTGGAACATTAGGGGCTGAGAGGTGACCTTACTGAAGTGTATAAAGTCATGAGGGTGTTATGGTTTGGGTGTTTACCCAAGGTCTTTTACCCAGGGTAGTGGGGTCCAAAACTAGAGGGCATAGGTTTAAGGTGAAAAAGGAAAGATTTAAAAGAAATCTGATGGGCAACTTTTTCACGCAGAGGGTGATATGTGTATGGAATGAGCTGCAAGAGGAAGTGGTGGAGGCTGGTACAATGACAACATTTAAAAGGTGTCTGGTGGGGTCTATGAATAGGAAGGGTTTAGAGGGGTATGGGCCAAATGCTTGCAAACGGGACTAGATTAATTTATGATATCTGGTCAGCATGGGCAAGTTGGACCAAAGGGTCTGTTTCCATTCTGACCAAGACTCTGACTCTATGACACCATCTAATTCTCTCATCTTATGTTTTCTGAAGAGACATGAAGATCCATGCAAGTAATTCTAACTGCATTATTTTACGTTGTTTCAGTTCTTACTCAACTTACCATAAATACTGCTTACAGCGATGAGTTCCTGCAGTGTTGTTATAATGGGGAGCCATCCAATACTGAAATGATCAATTAAGTTTATCCAGTAAATTCCAGCCTGAAATTACAATGAGACATGAGCACTTGAGAAAATAACAGCGGTCTAATATACAAAATAGGTGATTACTGTGACATAAAAGTTGTGTGCTTCTATTCAAGTACAATCTAAACTTGACTAGGATCTCAGGCACTGTATTTAGTAACAGGAGATGGGGGAAGGGTCAATCAGTCTCATGGCATCGCTGCACCTTATCAGACAAATGGTGAAATAACAGTCATCAAAATTGCAGTCATTCTTTATTCCTTAATAATTTGAAGTTTTTGACTTCCTAGTTATAACTAGCAATACATAAAAAGTCACAATAAATTATAAGGATAACATACCTCTGTTACACTCACAAGGCCAAACAAATAAATTAACACGCAAGTGCCAATTGTCAGACTAAAACGCTTTGGTCGTAGGTATTTCGGAAACCTGTCCAGCAGACATGTTAGGAGTTTTTCTGGGAAAATGAAAATTGTTACTTGCAATCAATAATTAATTAATAACTTACACATTCCCAGCGCAACCCGACTGGAAGTACCAAAGCTCAGCAGACCAGAGGAGCACATGGGGACACATTCCATTTAACATGAGTCTGCTGTCTCAATCATTGGAGAGACTCTCAGGCTTTCAATCGATTACAGTGTTCAAAGCTGAATATTACCGCATTTGTGATTAAACATGTTTGCATCAAAAGTAGAGGAATATGATGACAAAGAGACTGCTTTTTTTGAGATCATTTGAGACTTCGACAAATATGAGCTGACCAGGAAGAGGCAACGTGGACATAGGAGCAGAAATTAGGCCATTTGGCCTATCGAATCTGCTCCGCCAATCAATTATGGCTGATAAGTTTCTCAACCCCATTCTCCCACTTTCTCCCCATAACCCTCGATTCCCTTGACAATCAAGAACCTGTCCATCTCTGTCTTAAATATTCTCAATGACCTGGCCTCCACAGCCTTCTGTGGCAATGAATTCCATAGATTCGCCACTCTCTGGCAGAAGTTTCTCCTTATCTCCGATCTAAAAGATCTTCCCTTTATTCTAAGGCTGTGTCTCTGGGTCCTAGTTTCTCCTATAAATGGAAGTGGCTTCACAATGTCCAGTCTGCTCAAGCTGTTTAGTATTCTGTAAGTTTCAATTAGATTCCCCCCTTAACCTTCTCAACTCCATCGAGTATAGTCTCAGAATCCTCAAACATTCCTCATATTGTTAAGCCTTTCATTCTTGGGATCATTCTTGTGAACCTCCTCTGAACCTGCTCCAGGGCCAATACATCCTTCCTGAGGTATGGGTCTCAAAATTGCACACAATACTCTAAATGTGGTCTGAATTAACCTATTTGCATTTTTTTTGGGATGACTAACATGATAGATAAGGGCATGTACGTGGATGTAATTTATGTGGACTTTGCCCAGAAGCATTTGCTCGTGTTTCTCTCAGGAATCTAGGAAGCACTTGGCCTTATCAGCATTCCTTTGTAATACATAGGGATTTAGCGGTGGGAAATAGACAGTTTGGAATAATGGGTATTTACTCCAATTGATAGGATAAACTCCAATTTATAGGATAAAACAAAGTTTCCAAGAGGAATCCATACATATCTGAGCTTTCCACTATATTTATCACGACATAGATGAAAGAATGGAAAATAATATATCATGTTTATTGGTGAAAAGTTGATTATTAGGTAGTCTTGGACTGATTAATGAGCCAGTGGTAAGTTCAAACAGGAACTAGTACATTACACATTACGGAACTCTGACGAAGACGTGATCAACTCTTCTTTGTCACGTGTTCTCTAATAAATATTTTAAATCAACATGTTCAGAGATGTGATGACACCCTGGGGCTTCTGGCTTAGAGGTATGTACACTACTGCTGTGTCACAAGAGCACTCTATATGCATTCTCTTACATATCATTTCTATGTGAGGTGTTATTCAAACACTCCTGGACGATGAATTCTTTCAACCTCTAATACTATATCTTCTCACTGATACTTTTCTTTCACGTGTTGTTTTACATACAACCCTCACAGCCCTGCAAATCCCTGATATTGCAGATTCAATCTGCATAACTCTCTCTAACTGCATTCTAGTCACACTCAGAAATTCAGTCATCTTCTCAGAACTCCAGCCTCATGCTTGCATGGCCTTCATTGAGTTTAGTAGTATTTGGTTCTTTCTGAATTTCCAGCTCAAAATCTAATTCATTCAAATATGTCAAACAAATAAAAATAAGACCCCTCCTGTTTTTACGCAAAGTAGCTTCCATAGTGTGTACTAAATAAGATCTCTGATGATTGTCAATTATCTGGATGATTACTCCTTACCTAACTTAGTCTTGAACTCACACCCTCTCCCCTTCCATCAACTTGAGAAGGTCAATGTTTTGGTGATTCCTATTATAGTTAGAAGACTGCTTTTGATTAGACTGTTCTTAGTTTTGAACTCTTTGATAATCTTGGAGTTTGAGCACTAGAAGCAATTTTTTTTGTGCTGAACCAGAGCTGTGTCTGGAGTTTTCTCACCATTATTTTGAATGCTCTGGAGACATGAATATGTTCCCTTCCTTTCCTCACATCCAAGACTGTCATAGCAGAGATGAATTTTAAAATCCTATTTGTATAGCTTAATTGCACATGATGTGAAGAAATAAACTAGATAGATTCAGTTGCATTATTGTTTCAAACAAAGTGTGTTATTAACAAAATCGTTTGGGTTAAACAAAGACCATTAAAACAGTAGGTGCAAGTCTTGTTTAAAGAAAAATAATTTGTTTCCCAACTCACCCATCACAAACAAATGCTTGCATAATACATAACAAGATAAAACTGACAAGTTTTGGTGTGAAAGACGTAAAGATTGTTGGAAAAATTAAAACAGTTCAATAGGGAATAATAAGTTCCAGTTCCAGAGTTTTTTTTGAGATCATAGAATCCCTACGGTGTGGAAACAGGCCCTCTGGCCCAACATGTCCACACTGACCCTCAGCATCCCACCCAGAACCCATCCCTGTAATCCCTATGGGCAATTTAGCATGGCCAATCCACCTAGCCTGCACATCTTTGGACTGTGGGAGGAAACCCATGCAGACATGGGGAGAACATGCAAGCTCCACACAGACAGTTGGCTGAGGGTGGAATTGAACCTGGGTCCCTGGTGTTGTGAGGTAGCAGTGCTAACCACTGAGCCACTATGCTGCCCCATCTTAAGAGGTGATTTCAGCATATCGGTTGCCTAAATCCAATTGTGTCCTTCACTGTAGCTTTTGGAGGAGGCTTTCATGCTTTAAACACATTTCTTGGTTAACAGTCAGTTCCTTCAAGTCAGTCAGTTCAGCTTAGTTCCTTGAAACAGATGCTGTTTATGTATTCCATGTCGAGAGATTATTGTTTCCTGCTGATAACCATAACAAGATATTTCATCTACAACTTGTGAGGATTCTCATAATGGTGTAAATCAAATAGGAAATGAGGACCATTTCACACTTCCTGGATGTCTGACTAACTAATTTTTTCGCCCTTCAGGGGAAGTGTCATTATCAGCACTGACTACCTTTGATCTAATCCACTTGGTTTTACAAAAATTCGTCAACTGTGTGGATCAAGTGTGTTGCCTGTGCGTTGAACACTTTGACCAGTGCTTTTGTTGGTGAGCTGGACAAAGAGACGCAGAATTCGGGTTTGTGGTTCAGCTCAACTTTATTAACAAAATATTCCTTATTAAAAACAGTATGTGACCATTTCCCAAATTCCCACAATATTTATCCTGTATCTAGCTCTATCTATTTGAGAAAGGATATCACCCACAACTATCCATGTGTTTGAGCTGGACCGTTGGAATCTCCTTCCTCTTCCACCAGGTGGATTTTGCAGTTCAGGGCAGATCTTCTCCTGGATCTTCTTGGGTTGTCGCATGGTCTTCCATCATGAATCTTGCTGCGAGTCTTCACTAAAAGAGTGACTTCCAGGTATGTGTGTTTATTCCACTTGGTCTTGAACTTCTGGAATGTTTTGTGGCCCTTGGCCATTGGTGTCATGAATCGGGTTCAAAATATCCAATGAGGCCATGCCAACACCCTTCACTGTTGCTGTACCAGGAAGATATAAATGTCCTCAGGCACTGGCTGGTTGTCAAGGTGCCAGAAAGTCTGATCAAAACTTCTTCAATACGGAATCCTCAGATTGGTCATTACTGGTTCCCCATGAGCCTTTGTGATCTCTTTGGCCTTGGTTTCCACTGTTCTCTATAGCAGATATTTGCTGTTTAATTTAGTTTGGCCAGTTTTCTGTCAGGCCTGAATTACAGCTTTTTGCCAAATGTTCGAAGTAGCTATTGGCAAATTATGGGCCTTATCAAGGCAATTGAACTCTTAAGGACTTCGGAATCATTTAGAAATGGTGAAGCGGACGCAATTCTAGGTTTCCTGGAGCCCCCAGTCTTTCGTGATGCAGGATAACTGTGTGAGTAAAGAGGCCACATTCTACTCTGCCCAATGTTGCCAGGGGTATCTATCTCCCAGTTCCTTGCAACTTCCACGGAATCATTCCAGCTTCTCCATGAGACAGGATGGTAAGTTGTAATCTACAGGAGGTTTCCTTGCCTATGTTTAACCTAAAGCCATGAGACTTCATGGGGTCTGGAGTCAATGTTGAAGACTCCCAGGGCAATTCCCAGCGATTGTATACCACTGGACCATCACCTCTGCTGGGTATGTCCTGCTGGTTGGACAGGACATATGCAGGGATGGTGATGGCGGTATCTGGGATAGAATCTGTCTCCTGTAAGTGTGACCAAGTCAGGCTGTTGATTGACTGGACTGTGAGATAGCTCTCCCAATTTTGTCACTAGCCCTAAGGAGGACTTTACAGGGTCAACAGGGATGTTTCTGCTGTTGTCTTTTCTGGTGCCTAGATCGACGCTGGGTGGTCTGTCCAGTTTCATTAATACATCTGAATGGCTTGCTAGGTCATTTCAGAGGGTAGTTGAGAGTCAACCACATTGCTGTGGATCTGGAGTCACATGTAGGCCAGAACAGGTGAGGATTTTATTTCCTGAAGGACATCATGAACCTGATGGGTTTTTTCAACTATCAACAATGGATTCATGGACGCCAATAGATTCTTAATTCCAGATTTTTTTTGTTAAATTCAAATTCCACAACCTGCCTTGGGCAGGATTCAAACCTGGTTCTCCAAAAAATTGGCTGAGATCTGGTTTAATAGTTTAGCAATCATACGACTGGGCCATTGCCTCCCCACAATGTTTGAAATGTTGGGGTGACTGTGCCACAAGGAATGGTGCTCGGTCCGCTGCCTTTCATATTTATAAAATGATTTGAATGTGAACATAGGAGGAATGGTTGAAAGTTTGCAGATAACACCAAAATTGGAGGTGCAGTGGACAGCAAAGAAATTTACCTCAGAGTACAACAGGACCTTAATCAGATGGGCCAATGGGCTGAGGAGTGGCAGATGGAGTTTAATTTAGATAAGGTGCTGCATTTTGGAAAGGCAAATCAGGGCAGGACTTATACACTTAATGGTAAGGACCTGGGGAGTGTTGCTGAACAAAGCATCTTTGGAGTGCTGGTTCAGAGTTCCTTGAAAGTGGAGTCCCAGGTAGACAGGATAGTGAATAAGGCATTTGGTATGCTTGCCTTTATTGGTCAGTGCATTGAGTATAAGAGTTGGGAGGTCACGTTGTGGCTGTCCAGGGCGTTGGTTAGGCCATTTTTAGAATACTGCATGCAATTCTTGTCTCCCTGCTGTAGGAAGGATGTTGTGAAATTTGAAAGTGTTCACAAAAGATTTATAAGGATCTTGCCGGGTTTGGAGGGTTTGAGCTATAGGGAGAGGCTAATTAGACTGCTGCTATTTTCCATGGAGTGTCAGAGGCTGAGGGGTGACCTTATAGAGGTTTATTAAAATTATGAGGGGCATGGATAGGGTGAATAGCCGAGATCTTTTCCCTAGGGTGAGGGAGTCCAAAACTAGAGGGCATAGGTTTAAGGTGAGAGGGGAAAGATTTAAAACGGACCTAAGGGGCAACTTTTTCACGCAGAGGGTGGTGCATGAAGGAACGAGCTGCCAGAAGAAGTGGTGGAGGCTGGTACAATTGTAACATTTAAAAGGCAGCTGAATCAGTATATGAATAGGAAGGGTTTAGAGGGATATGGTCCAAATGCTGGCAAATGGGACTAGATTAATTTAGCATAACTGGTCGGCATGGATGAGTTGGACTGAAGGGTCTGTTTCCATGCTGTATAACTGCATGACTCTATGATTTCCTTTGAATCACAAATGAATATAGCTCTTAGCTCAATAAAACACAGCCTAAGTCTCCATTAAGATATGTGCAGAGAATTAATACATGAACACGTTCAGCTTTCATTACCCCATCATGAAGAGTAATTTGTCATCTATAATCTTAATTACTGCAAAATCTTCCAAGATCTTAATTTTGAAAAAAATCATGTGGTATGTGTGATGGTCAAGGCTGTTATTTACTGTCCATCCATAATTGTTGTTTGGAGGCTCACCAGATCTATCAGTGGACCTTCCGGAGCCAACCACGTTGCCGTGGATCTGGAGTTAAGAGTAGACCAGACCAGGTAAGGAAGGCAGACTTCCTTTGCTAAAGGGCATGAGTGAACTGGGTATGTTATTACGATACATCAATGATAGTTGCATGAACAACATTATGGGCACTTGCTCTCGATTACAGATTTACTGCCAGAATTTGAACTTAAACTTTACCACCAACATGTAATGGAATTTGAACAGTGTTCCCAGAGCATTAGCCTGGCCTCGTGCAGTGACACTACCATTATGCCAATTGCGCTTGATATAGTAATATCATTTTCCTTTACAAAGGGACTGGTTAAGTAATGTCATGCTTACCTAAAAATGCAAACAGACTGTCGATTCCCAGCATGAGCAGCAAGGTGAAAAATAAAATAGACCATAAAGGTGCCCATGGCAACTGTGAAACAGCCTCTGGATAGACAGTGAAAACAAAACCGTAATCTAAATAGTGGCACAATTGAAATAGTAAAATTAGTGTTGCTGAAAGGAGAGAATGAAGATACCCTATTATTACAATAACAAGGTGCCTGAGACGTCTTAGGAGGGTGACAAGTTTAACATTAACCCATTAACTATTGTGGGGCATTCTTACATCATAGAATCCCTACAGTGTGGAAGCAGGCTATTCCACCCATCAAGTCCACATTAATCCTCCAAAGAGCATCCCACCCAGACCCAACTCCCCCATCCTATCCCGATAACCCTGCATTTCCCATGGCTAATTGACCTATTCTGCACATGGGAAATTAACTTAGAGCAACCTGAAGCCAGAAAATATTCCAGGACAGGTTAGTGGGACATGAATGAGTATTGCTCAGAGCTGCAAAGCTACAACCAGCAGCACAGTTCCCCATTCTCACAACGCGATGGGAAATCATGAGGTTCTTGGGATTGAGTGGGTCCTAATGAGAATTCATCCCAAATTTCAGCACAGTATTTGTTTTAAACATTTTAACAAATGAGGGCTGTGCATGCCAATCATTTAAAGTAGCCATCAACATGCGTGACATTGGAGGAGGGTTGCTCTGCTTCAGGAAGACAAATCCAGTTTAGAGAGACCAATCAGGTACAAGAGAAGGGATCCTTTCTAAATTAGCCTGGTTTTGACCAACCAAGGTGTTAGTGAATAAAAAAGGGGAGCAATTTATCCCTCCACACTCAGGACCTGAACAGTTTGGGGTGTCCTGTCTGGGGTCATCACAAAATGGGAAACCTGGCCTTGGGTTCGATCATAACAGTGTCAGTAATGATGTCATTGAATGTCAAGAGGCAAGGGTTAAATTCTCTCATGTCGGACACGGTTACTGTTGGACACATGAGAGGTGGAGAAGTTACTTTGCCCACAGCAGTTCAGGTTTGCGTATGTCCAGGTCTCACTGTATATGGCCACAAGAGTGCATCAGCATCTGACGAGTTGCAAACAGTGCTGTAGACTGCATGGCTACCAGTGATCATCCCCACCTCTGGCCCGCAGATGGAGGGAAGGTGATTGATGAAGTAGATGAAGATAGTTGGATCCAGGGCATTACCCTCAGAAATTCTTGCAGCTAAGCCCTAAATCTTGTTCCAGGAAATTCCACAGCCTGACATGCAAGGCCGTTTTGTGGCTAGCATTATGAAAACATCAAAAGAACCAACTAATAGGAGGAGAGGACAACAACATTAAGTGAGCTGTGCACGATGCTCAGCCTGTCGTCAGCTCGGTGGGATACTAACACAACCGTGTGTAGGACAACACACCACAGGACAAGGGAGGAACACATTTCCCTAAATGTTTGAATGCTCAAGGGGCTGTTGAACACTGCTATCCTAGTACTGATCACCCTTAGCCAGATTGGATCCATGTAAATTGTAGAACAAATGTGAAAGACACATTCTATCCTTATCAATATATATTTAAGCTTGTTATAAAACTACTTGGCCATGTATTATACAGCAATCACTGTTGCTGACCACTCTTAGTTGCAATGGGAACTTCTTTACATGGGGCCTCTGTAATCTCCTCCCTCAAATCATTTAGGATCCTAAATCACATCTCGTTAGGTCTGAAGGTATGCGTGTAATTGGCTGAACTAATTGACCTAAAGTTTTCTTTTAATCCATCATAATATTTTCACAAGACTCCCAACCAACCTCAGGATCCTCTCCACTGCTCTATAAAAGATAATGTTCTAGTTCATTGTTCAGCTAAAACTATCGGACCCAGACTTTTCTAACAGAATGGAGATGCTTAGACTGTGGAATCCATCCATTTTTATCATTTGTTTTGAAATATTTTCACAGATGCTGTTATGTTTGATTCTGCTTTACCTGACTGCGCAACCTCTGTTAAAGTCTTGTTTTGGACGTGAGCTATGTGCCCAAGAGTGGAGAAGATGACAAACCCAGCAAACAAACTTGTAGCACAATTAACAATACAGACAATGATGGTATCTCGGTAACAGTCGTTGTGGAATTTGTTGTACGAAGACAGCGTTATTAAGAGGCCAGAACCCACTGAACAAGAGTAGAAAATTTGCACTGCAGCATCTTTCCAGACCTGGTACAATGAGAGGAGAAATAATTAGTGTCAGGAAACATCACTTGAACTCATTTAACAGACAAAGCCATGGCCTGGATTTTCAATCTCAGGGTCACAGTGTGGAGGTGGGCATATAATTATGGCAGCTCCACCACCACTATTGAGAGTCTATGGACCATGTGCCTCTCTGGCATTTAGGTTGGTCACTTAGCACACTGTTTGGTGCCCTGCTTGCTATCGCAGTGGTGATGTGCACCCCCTGCAGGTCAGGTCAGATTGTACAGAGGTCATAGAATCCTTACAATGTGCAAGTCGGCCAATCGAGTCCACACTGATCTTTCAAAGAGCATCCCACCCCCACCCCACTACCGTATCCCTGCAACCCTGCATTTCCCACTGCCAGCACACCTTTAGACTGTAGGAGGACACCCACACCAACTCTAGGAGAACGTGCAAACTCCACACAGACAGTCACCCGAGGCTGGAATCAAACCCAGGTCCCTGGCACCGTGAGGCAGCAGTGCTAACCACTGAGCCACCATGCCGCTTTAAGACTCTGAAGTGTCACGGGAAGAGGAGAGTCGGAGAGGACGCGTTGGAGGAAAGGACAGGGGGAGTGGCTTTCTGCAGTCAAGCTTGGCCGAATCCCGTCAGGAATCCTGAACATCCTCAAATTGACTTAGTTTGAGATCACTTCCATCCTCCAAACCCCGCAAAAAGGCTAAGCCACCTTACTAGTTATGAAGGTTTACACTTCTCTTGTGAGCCAGGGGTGGTGATGAGGCCCTGAAGTGGTCATTAATTGCTCAATTAATTGGTGGCACTTTGAAAAGATTGAGTGTGGGCCTTCCTGCACAGAACTGAGTTTCTGATCCGGTGGGAAGAGGACGTTGCCAACCTGTCCAATTATTTGCACTTTCTGAGAGCGGAGAAACCAGGCCTACATTAACCACAAGGAACCAGGGCTGGTTTTGTGCACAACTCAATGCTGAGCTGAATACATGAAGTTTCCTCTGGTCGACAACATCTTACTCAAACAGGAGCCTCACTTCGTCTCTGTGTCAGCTATTTTCTGCCAAATTCCCGACAAGTTACTTGATGTTTGACGTATTAACCATGTTTTAGAGTGAAAGATTTGATTCTTTTCTTGTGACCCATTCATGCAAAAGTTGCCATAATTCTGACTGTCCATTGAATGATGCTATGATAAAAATCAAATCACCCAACACATTAGATTGACAATGAACTGAAATTAAGACATTAAAATAAAGTCAGCCCAAACAATTAAATTGCTGCAATTTCCTGATATTCCACCCCTTCCTTTTCAATTTCATTGAATCTGATTCTTTTCCATCTCACATGGTTTTATCTACACTTTCTCTTTCTATCTCCCTCTAATCTAACCATTCCATATCCTTCCCAACATTTTGATATCAAAATGTCAAGGGTTAGAAGCCTAGTGCATTTTCATTTGTCACGATGTTAACTTCGTCTCAAAAGAATGAAAGAAGTGAGGACCTGGAGACAGCCACCAGTATCTAAGAAAGCAATTTCTAAAACAGCACGAGAAACACCGAGGACAGCGGCTACATACAGAGTGGGAGAGAGGGAACAGGGTAAGCAGCTTTTCAAACAGTGTGAGGGGATGGGGACAGCAGATTCATAAACAGAAGAGCCAAGCTGTGTGAGATGTGCAATTGTGGTGCGAGATTAAATCCGACAACAGGTCAGCCCGTTTTTTACATGTGATCTCACAGGAAAACAGGGAGATGGTTGTTGGGTAATTCTTCCGTGTCTCTTTTAATTGGCCAAGTCATCCAAATCAGGAGATATTATTACAGCTGAAGACTGAAGAAATTAAGAAATTCACCTTGAAAATATTTAAAATCCAAATTAATTAGTGAAATAGAATTGTAGTGGCTGGGTAGGTGATGTGCAGCTTGAGTGGGTAAGAGCTGGTAGAGTCTGGTGCTATGCACAGTGACTATATTCGCAATAAGTGTTGACTGCTCAAGGAATTTTGGCTCAGGGTTGAAGAGCTGGAATCAGAAGTGCGGGCACTGCAGCACATCAGGGAGGGGAAAGAGATGGTGGACTTTGGTCTCAGGAGGCTTTCATACCCATTAGGTTAATTACCTCAAATTTGGTCTGTGTTCAGGACCAGGACCAGGGGTGAGGTTGAGAGTGAGGCAGGTATGGAGATTCAGAATGGAACTTTGGAGAAGCCACTTCTTCTGGGCTGGAGAGGAACTTGGAGTGCAAAAGGAACGATCCAGTTGTCGTGGTCGAGATAGATATCAGCGACATAACTAGGAGGTCTCTCCACAGAAGCTGACAGACCTGCTGAGTATCTCCAGCATTTGAACAAGTAAGTAGCCAATTAATCCAAACTTAAACGTAGATCTCTGGCTTTAATAGCCAGTGTGCACATGTGCCAGGGTCAATAAAGTGAGACTACAGTGAAAGTTTATCATTTAGTGAAACTTCCAAGCTAAGAGTACTTCAAAGACTGGAACTGCTGAGCTGTTTCTCTGCCTATATGAAACTCCTGAGGAAACCCACTCAGACACAAGGAGAATGTGAAAACTCCACACAGACATTCACCTGAGGGTGGAATTGAACCTGGGTCCTTGACACTCTGAGCCACTATGCTACCACTTGTATACCTTGTGCCAGGCATACATCCTCCCTGGAACTGGATCTCTGTGTCCAGCACCTCTATGTGATGTGGCTGTGAAGAAAGTTGCTGTGTTTCTCCTTGTGCTGTTGGAAATGGTGTCCCACCTGTGCCCCATCAGAGGTCCCAACTGGAGCTGTACAAGCTCCCATCCTACAGTGCTGCTTGGTAGCAGTTCAGATCAAAGTGGAAAAGTCAGGAAAATTTCCAAAAAAGTTTGATTACACAGCCAAATCCACGTCACTGAGGAATGGTTCCTGACCCGTGACTGACATCCCACTGTCTTTGTTTTCCCCACATTTGACCAGGAACACAAAGGCAGTATGTAGCTCTTTAAAGTGATTACCTTTGGTGTAAAACAAAAACAGAAAGAACTGCGGATACTGGAAACCAGAAACAAAAAACAGAAGTTGCTGGAAAAGCTCAGCAGGTCTGGCAGCATCTGTGGAGAGAAATCAGAGTTAATGTTTGTGGTCGAGTGACCCTTCCTCAGAACATGAACCACCTTGACTGAAAATCACAGTTGAAATTTTGTGGATTATTCTGATGTACTTACCCCTGCATCAGCCAGTTTGGACAAGTCTGATTGGCTTCCGATGTAGAATTCAATTCCTTTATAGGCTCCCTCCAGGGTAACCCCTCGGATCAGGAGTATGGTCAGAAACAGGTAAGGCAACGTCACAGTGAAATAAACCACCTGTACATGGAGGATAACTTACTGGATTTTCCTGCATTGCTGATACAGTATTCAGTCAAATTTAATGATGAACTAATATAATTATGGTCAATGAAGAATTGAAGGAGTTATAATGTCGTGAGGATATGCATAAATATATATAATGTAAAACTGAACTGTGTAATTGAACTTAAATAGCACAACATTGCATTTTGAGGAATGTGAAATATTTAGCCAGAGGAGTATGGTGAATATATTTCATTCCACACATTGATTCCTCAGGTTTCTTTACCATTCTCATTGTCCAGAAAAATCTCATTTCACTCAAATAAAACCCTGACCCTAATCTGCTCAATCTCTTCCCCCTGTCCTGTCCAGCCTTCCAGAACAATTAGAAATTCCCCCGAAGACCCTGTATCAGTGACTGTAACTCTTAGATTGAGGGAGACATTGCAGGGATTTGGGGGGAATTGCTGCTGTTCTTTCCCTCAGGAGAAAGATCTTCACATCTCCCTCAGGCCTGAAGTGTTGATGAATTATGGATCTCCCACTCCCCAAAAGGACACTGTTAACATCACCTGGGAGATAAACCAGCTACTTCATAAATGATTTGTAAATTCTAGTTTCATTGTTTCAGAAATCTGTACTTTGTCACTAGTTATAACTCTATTCATCACCAATCATTTACCTTTCCTGATGATTTGATTCCTCTAAATAACGCTGCTACAACCATCAGCCAGGCCAGAAGCAGACAGAGAGCTAAATACCAGACTATGTCCCCAGTCTCTTCAATTGAACTGGAACGCTGTAAAACCACTTTACTGAAGAAAATGACAACAGAAAAGATACGAAATGCTCATTACAGATGAAAAATATTAGATTAATGAAATTGCACTGTTAAACTAAATATGTTAGTCACTCGGTCTCCCAATAAATTCAGCTAATTCATATTGTTGAACATGGCGCCTATGGAATTAAACACAATACTGCTTTAAATTAAAAGCACAGAGAAAGGGACGTCAATCACAGAATCTCTGACAAACAAGAAAATAAATAGAAGTTCACTAAAGATTTCACATGTAAATATTGCTCAAGGAAGCTTGCAATGTTAGAGATCAGTGTATTATTAACTAATGAAAAGGCCTCCCTTGTGATGTTATTTTGTATCAGCAGTATGACATGAAAAATACCTCTATCGAAATCCAACAGCTTCTCTCTCACTAAATAGGACATTCACCAATCAACTGTCCCGAGAGGAGTTACTGGCACAGCTGTGCAGGTTACAGGTGTAACTATCTGTAGCAATGTACTTACTTCCAGTATTGCTCACTTGGACTCTCAAAAGGAACGGAGATTTCTGATCCATTTGGACAAATTTCGTTTTTTGCCTGTAGCCATGTTGTACTAACGATTTTAAAATATCCATCATCCAGAGTGAGATTGCAGAGTGGATCTGGAAAATGTGGAACATGTTTTTTAAAGTATAATTTATTGAAGATTTGTTTTTAAGTCATGTTCTTGGCATGTAAGAAATATTAGGAGAGCAGGCATTTACTACTAATCTTAGCAGGTGAGGTTAATATGCCTCTTTAGGTGGCGATTAAGAGATAACTGCCTTTGTGAAATGATTGGAATTTATTATAGACCAGATATTAGTCAGCCAAAGGAATTTTGTTAAGCATCCAGCAGCACCTTCGTCATACCAACAATTTCATTTTGTTTTAAATTCCAGTATCAACATTTCTAATGATAAAACCGGGGCCATTGTTTCACCCTGTCGGATTCAGCCTGATCTGTTTGAGGTTACAGATGAGTCAGAACACAGAGGCATATTCAACCCGCAGCACAGTCCAGTCCTGCTGCTCACTCTGTGTGTAACGCTGGATGTTACTTCATTGTTAACTCTGCTTTTTCTTCTTTCTATTTCTCCAGATAGGACTTTAAACAGGACAGGTGTCCATATGTGGTGAGTGTAATACAGGTGCATGTGTATTTATGTGTGTCATACTGACATGTGTATGTTTGTGTGTAATATAGGCATCTGTGTGTATGTGTGTCATAAGAGGGTCAATTACTTTCTCTGTTGCACTTTCTCTGTGTCACACTTCTCTCTCTCTGCTACATCACACTCATTCTCTCTGCTACTACACCATTCCTTGCCAAGGTGCATGCTCCACTACAGTCACCATTACAATATCTTCCCTCACTTGCTCGTTCCCTCTCCCCCCACACCACCAACCCTCCATGCCCTCTGTGCCAGCCACTCATTCATCTGGGACTGCCTTTTGCTCACCTGCACCACCTAGTCCCTCTTTCTCCCATTACAGGAGAAAACAGCCCATATCAACATGGGAAGAGCCAGGACGCGAGACACCCACTGAACATTAGGCTCCTCACCCCACAGGAGGGGAGATTCCTGGCCATTGCAGAAGAAACTGACACTGCTGCTGTGGCCTTGCTGAGATACCCATGTCCCAAAAACTGAGTAAGTACCACTCTTCATTCCACGGCAACTCTCACATTAGCCCCACTGTCAGTGTCACTGATTGCCCAAAACTCCTAACCTGGGCAGTGACGCCTTCTCTCTCTCATGTCTTGCAGGAAACAGTGAGATGTTCTTTTGTCCAACAGAGAAATTGACACCCTTTCCCCTTGTTCCTCTATAGGGACCCGACAGACTGACCACGGCACTCAGAGTAGGTTTGAGATTGATGTAGCACATTGCTGCAGTGCAGGATATGTGTCTCTTGACGGAGGGCAGCTAACTAGCAAGGCAGACTTTCTGATGTGACTGCAAGGATAGGAATTGCAAGCCAAGGATGTTGTGACCATGTGGGTAGGTGCTAAGTGAACATGTGCCAAGACAGTGAGTGAGCAACCCTGAGATACTACCTTGTCCAATCGATCAGCTGGGTGCCTGCCCTTGTGTGTAAACTGTCCATGCAGAAACAATCCTAGGATCCCAAAAGAGGTAGCTACAGAGACAGTGGATTTTTCAAATTGTAATTTCAAATTGTAGTTGTAATTTTCCAAAAATCTTTGGATTCTGGAAAATCGACAGGATTTGATTTGATTTGATTTATTATTGTCACATGTACCTGGGTATAGTGAAAAGTTTTGTTTTTGCATGTAGTACAGGCAGATCATACCATACAAAGTGCATAAGGGTAGTAGAACAGAATGAGGAATACAATGTTACAGCTGCAGAAGAGGGGCACACAGAGCGAGGTCAACATTAAATTTAAAATTTGAGAGGTCCATTCAGAAGTTTAATAACAGTGGGGAAGTAGCTGTTCTTGAATCTGTTGGTAAGTGTGTTTAAGCTTTTGTATCTTCTGCCCAATGGAAGAGGTTGGAAAGGATTAATGATGTGGAGGTGCAGGTGTTGGACTGGGGTGGACAAGTCAGAAATCACAGCTTATAGTCCAATAGGTTTATTTGAAAATACAAGCATTCGGAGCCCCGCTCCTTCTTCAGGTGACAGTGAGAGAGGTGGTATCAGACACAGAATTTATAAGATCAAAGGGTCATACCACTGCTGAGGATATATTAAACAAACCCAAGATGCTGTTAAGTCTTCAATCAGTTAGAAGGTTTTAACTGATTAATATGTACATGTAAATCCCCAAATTTTATTCAAGTCACTGCCCTGAGAGAACTAAAGGTTTTATCAGTGTAAAAACAAGGTGACATTTTGGTCAGACACTGCATGTTAGGTGTGAGGCCTTGTTTAGAATCTGGTTTTGTTTTGGTTTGGATTCAGACAGGATTTATTTCTAAAGTAGGAATTTATAAAATGCTGCATTGACTGACTGTCTACAAATTGTGTGCTTTTGAACAAAATAGAATGTATCTGCAATCACAAATTCACCCCATAGATTTACATATATGTGTGTGCGCGTGTCTGTGAGGTTGTGTGTGTGTGAGGGGGAGAGAGAGAGTGAGTGTGTGTGGGAGGAGGGTAGAGGGAGAGAGAGTGTGTATGTGTGTGTGTGCATGTGTGCGTGCATCTGAGGGGGGAGAGAAGGAGTGAGAGTGTGTGTGAGTGTGGAGGTAGAGAGACAGTGTGTGTGTGTGAGGGACAGAGTGAAAGCGTGTGTGTGAGTGAGGGCAGTTAGAGAGAGAGCGTGTGTCAGGGTGTTTGTGTGTGGGTTGGAGTGAGAGAGAGTGTCTGTGTGTGCGTGTATGTGTGGGGTGGGGAGAGAAAGAGTGTGTGTGTGTGTGAGGGGAGAGAGAGTGTGTGTGCATGCGGGAGAGAGACTGTGTGTGTGTGTGTGTGTGTGTGTGTTTGGAGTGGGAGTGGTGGGATGGGTTGGAAAGTATTGGAAAACTATTCATATGACTCTAAGGTTTTGGCGTAGATCTGTAGCTCAGGTTGTGGGTGTTGAGGTTGGTTGGCTTGCCGAACTGGTTTGTTGTTCCGCAGACATTTCGTTACCGTGCTTGGTAACATCCTCAGTGCAGCCTCTGATGAAGTGTTGCTGTGTTTTCCCGCCTGGTTTTTAAACTCTGGGGTCCGTTGTGATGGATTGCCTCACTTCCAGGTTTCCTCTGTAGTGGAATGTATATGGGGTCGAGTTCAATGTGTTTATTAATAGCCTGCTTCGTGGAGTGCTATGCTTCCAGGAATTCTCGTGCTTGTCTCTGCCTAGCCTGTCCCAAGATCTTGGTGTTGTCCCAGTCGAAGTCGTGGTTCTCCTTGTCCATGTGGATTGAGATGAGTGAGTATTGGTCGTGTCTTTTTGTAGCCAGTTGGTGTTCATGTACTCTTGATGTTAGTTTCCTTCCTGTTTGTCCGATGTAGTGTTTCTTGCAGTCTCTGCGGGGGATCTTGTAGATGACATTGGCCCTGTAGTTCGGGTGAGCACTTGTCGTAGGGTTGATGTGGGTTTGTGTGCCACTCTGATGCCCAGCAGTCGTAGAAGTCTTGTGGTGAGTTCCGACGTGTTCCTGATGTAGGGTAGTGTGTTGAGTGTGTCGGGGCATGTAGAATCTTTCTGATGCTGTTCCTTTACGCATCTCCTGACCCAGTTCTTTGGATATCCATTATCCTTGAACACTTGGAAGAGGTATTCCTCCTCCTCCTCTTGGCGTAGTTCCATGTTGCTGCAGTGTGTTGTTGCCCTTTTAAATAGTGTTTGCACGCAGCTTCGTTTGTGTGTGCTGGGATGGTTACTATTGAAGTTCAATACCTGGTTTGTGTGTGTGGCTTTTCGGTGTACTTTCATTTGCAGTTCCCCATTTGTCTTGTGCTCTATCATGATGTCCAGGAATGGGAGTTGTTTGTTCTTCTCCTCATCTCTGGTGAATTTTATTCCGGTGAGGGTGTTGTTTATGAGTTTGTGTGTCTCTTCTAATTTGGTTCGTTTAATGATGACAAAGGTGTTGTCTACGTAGCGTATCCATAGTTTAGGTTGGATTTGCAGAAGGGCAGTCCTTTCCTGTCTTTGCATCACTGCTTCTGCTATGAGTCCGGAGATAGGTGATCCCATGGGTGTCCCGTTGATTTGCTCGTAAGTTTGGCCGTTGAAGGTGAAGTGGATGGTCAGGCATAGGTCCAGCAGTTTAAGCATGTTGTCCTTGGAGATGGTTTCACTGGGGTCGTGTTCTTGTTCAAGTAGTGTTGTCATTGTTTCCCTTGCTAGTGGTATGTCTATTGACGTGAATAGGGCGGTGACATCAAACGATATCATGGTCTCTTTGTCCTCTATCTTTATGTCTTTGATGGAGCTGAGGAATTTTTGGGCTGAGTGGATGGAGTGGGGTGATTTGTTGACTAGGTGCTTGAGTCTTCTTTGTAGTTCTCTGGCTAATCTGTGCGATGGAGTGCTTGGTAGGGAGAACTATGGGTCTGAGGGGGACTTCCGGTTTGTGCACTTTAGGGAGACCGTAGAATCGGGGTGTGTTGGTTTCATTCTTAAGAAGTCTGCTTTGTTGATCTGTCCTGTTTGTTTAAGTCTTTGTAGCGTGTATAGGATTTTGTTGCCTAGTTGTAGTGTCGGGTCAGTTTGTACTGGCCGGTATGTGTTCTCGTCGGCGAGCAGTGCTTGTGCTTTGGAGATGGAGTCCTCTTTATTCATTATCACTGTCATGTGCCCTTTGTCTGCAGGTAATATAGTGATGTTCTTGTCCTTCTTTAATCTGTCCAGGGCTTGTCTTTCCCGTGTGTTGAGGGTGTTGAATTCCCTCTTTCTGGTTAGTGTCGGGACTACCGTCTGTCTTATCATTTGTTGTGTTTCTTCGTTGATATTGTTGGTCTTGAGTGTGGCTTCCAGTGTAACTAGCCATTCCGTTTTGTTGGTGTCCCTGTAGTTGTAGTTCAGTCCCCGGGTGAGAACGGCTTTTTCCGCGTCTGTCAGTTTCCTGTCGGAGAGGTTCCTTATCCATGGGTCAGTTCTGTTGCTGTTGTTTTTGTGGGTAAGTGTGGTTAGCTTGTCTTGCAGGGCCTGTCTT